CATCTATTACCTGTAGAGATGGATCTTGGAAGGGTAATTCTGTGGCAACTTTTCCCTTGGGCAGGAACTGACCATTACAATACAGTGAATAGAACAGGTGCACATACACCTTGGCTGTAAGTACTCAGTGTTGCTGTTTGGGGTTCAGCTCCCATCTCAAGGCACTTTTAGGCATTTTCCTCCTTCATAAAAACTGTCAAACAAAAGCCTAAGATAACTTAAAAGAAATAAGGAAGAATCAAAAGTCTAGTGTTACTCAACCTACAGAGATTTTATGTTTTCTGATTATGAAAATAGCCCAACTTGAAATATTACTCAGCTGAAGCTCAGTTATTTTTACTCAAAAACATTTTTTTTTTATTTTAGAATACTTTTGCATCTGAATTATATCAAAGGTGAGAAGAAAATCCAACAATTAAAATACCTACACCTTAGCTTTATGAAGACACAGTGGGTTAATGATAAGGGAGCTCTTTACACAGCATCATAAATTTAGCTCAACCAGTTAAGGTTACTGCTTTCTTAGGTCAGAGCAGTGATTGGGTTAAATGTTTTATTCATAAGGGGGGCAGAATAAAGATGCAATTCTGTGTTATTTGCTTAAGAAGATTGTGTTTGCCTTTAGGACTTTGTTCTGACAGTGTATCTTACACTTAAAAAAGACTCTTGTACATTTGAGCCCCACTCACCAATCTTACACACATCAGCGATTTGAGATTGTTCTCCTTGACAGACACCTTCCCGTCCAGACAGGAAGTTTTCAGAGTTGAAAGCACTAAGGAAACTCCACTGACAGGTTTTAGGGAACGGCATGACTCAAACAATCCCTCCACAGTAAAGGAGATTGACACAGACAAGCACTCTGCAGAAACATTTGTCACATTGTATTTAAACGACTTTATGGCTTAAAAACAAACTTTTATATAAACTGTGCAGAGTAAAAAATGTTGAGATATGTTTGTTCTGAATGTCATGAGTGATAAGAATGATTTACACAGCCTCCTTCATGGCATGAAGGGGAGTACTGTTGTTTTGAGGAGATCCATCTGGCCAGTGAAAGGTATATTAACCTAACAGGGAATGGCCTTGATGAACTCAAAGTTGTTTTTCCTCCAAATGTTCAAGTGTGAGAAAGTTCTTTATGCAAGGGTTGGGTTGGTTCCCCCTGTGTGTGTTGGGAACTTGTAAGGTATAAATGTATGTACTGAGCTTTGGCTAGTAAGAGCCCTATCTCTCCATCTGAGGACAACCAATAAGTTTGAACCTTATTTCTTGCAAGAAATGCTTCTGTCTCAGCTTCAAAACTCCACAACTGTATAAACAGACACAAAATATTTTTATTACTGTCTGATACCTTATGATGATTTGAATTTATTATGAATTAACTGATTAATAATCAGGAAAGCAGAAGTTGCTTAACAGAAAATATTTTTCAGCAGAATTTAAAGCAGGTAAAACAAAAACTGTTTACTTTAAGGATTCAGAGCATATCATCAACCAAAAAAGATTTTTTTCAATTATATTCAATCTGTTCTAGCAGCCAATGAAAGAAACTGAAAACACAACTTGATGAAGAAACGTGACGGAATGTAGCAGCAACAAGTGAAGCCTACTGCCAAAACAAAACCAGAACAATAAAAAACATAGAGTGGGTTGGTTTCAAATTCATATTCATGAATCATTCATTTAAAAAAAAAATAAAAACAAAAAAACAACATATTTAGTTTGGTATTAGGTACCCGTGTAACTCGGTAAACTGGGTAAAGAGACAAAATATGCAAAGACTCTTTCATTGGAGGCATAACCAAAGCAAAGAGATAATGCCTATGCTTATGGGGAAAAAAACAATACTCTGGCTTACTCTGAAAATATATGAAGTAGGAGAAATTATGAGAAATTAAAAAACACATGACCTGAAAACAAACACAAGACAACAGGGAGTAAACTGGACCAAAATACACAGAAACAAAGGGGAGCATGAAGCTAAGTAAAATAAAAGCAGGAATAATAATACACAACAGCAATTAAACCTAGATAAATTAAACAATTCAGGGATACTAAACAAACAATACAGCCCAAGTTCTCAAAATCTGGGGCAGGTTTTGGTCTAAGAAAAAAGAAGCATTTGTTGGATTGAATGTCTTGTTTCATGATGCAGGAGTGTGAAGAGTTGCAATCTTGTGGATGTATTGTCAAAATACTTGTCAAAAAAACTTTAAAAACAACAAAGCACAAGGCTGACGAGAGCAATAGTAGTAAAGAAGTAGAGTTACTCTGAACAATCAAAATATAGGCCTGCTGGTAAGAAACAAAAATTGTGTAAGCCACTAATGACCTATATATGTCTAAGGTATTGGTTTGAGAGATTATTGTCTCTAAATATACTTAATGAATCTTAAGTCTTTCTACTTTTATTATGTTTTCCGATGCAGCTGTTTAATGTCTAAGCCATTTGGTCTTTTATGTGTTTTATTTTTTTTTTTTTTAGAAAAAAAGCAAAACAAAGAACGCAAAAACATTCACTAAAACAATACAGGGTAGAAAAAAAAACACCCTGTATTGTACACTTGCTGGTCTATACACAGTATACCAAGCTCTTTATATTTCACCATTTAAACAATTTTCCTAATGACTTGAGAAAACCTAACTTCATACATTGTCTTCAGTCAGGACATTTGCTCAAAGACCTTTTCTATAGTATTAAGCTTGAATATATTTTAATTTCAATACCATTATCTATACAGTATGATGTTCCAGCCATGCTTGACATTCAGGATGGTGTGTGTTCATGGGGAGGGGTAGTTATGTTCTGCTACAGATAACCCTTTAAATGGTAAGCAAAAAGTTAAATTGTGGTCTTCCAGATCAAATAGTTTCTAAAGACTTTCTTGTTGTTGATCCTAAAGGTTAGATTTGAGGAGTGAACAGGTAAACATCCTGCCTGTGCTTATGATCCCAGATCTGCCTGCTCATTTGATTAATGCTTTTCTTCCCCAGCGTATCAGTTTATTTGGATGGCCATATCATGTTAGGTTGCTTATGTTTCTTTTTTTATTTTTTATTTTTTTTTTTTACATTACAGCATAAATAATGTACCATTGGATGTGCAAAGCTTGGGATGTTGTAATATAAGCTGACCCAGTTTTGAAGCTTCCCCACAACTTTATTATTAACCAGCCTGCTGTATTCCTTGCTCTCCATGGTGTTGTTCACAAAATATTCTTTAAAAACATAAACAGATCAGCAGTATTTATAATGAGATCAAACTACACTCAATGCCCTATCTAGGACTTCTGCAAAGTTGAGCTTATCTAGCAAAAGGCCTCTGATAAAAACACTCACAATCATTATCTATTTTCTATTAGCAAATCAAATCTTTTTTATCATAAATATTGTAAATTTGAGGTAATATACAATTATGCTACTTTTGTTGATAAGATAGAACCAATAGAGGGTATAGTTATGTTTTTAGTTTCAAAGAGAGAACACATAAAAGCCCTAATGTATATAAAGATTAAAGGCAGTGTACCTTCATACCCTGAACCATTTTTCTAAAAAGGAAGGCAATTGCAACCTGAATATTTCTAAGGCTCTCACACAGGAAACATTGGTGAATTTATTTCAAATCATAAAGAGATGAACTGCAGTTCTTAAGCTGACAGTTGCACCACAGAGAAAGGAGCGCAGCATCTAATTTCTGACAAGGATGACACGCTTCATATAATATCTGTACCCAAGCGAAATCACTGCACCACAGAGCCTAACACTGAGAGGCATCCTTTTCTCCACACCACACACACACACGGATATACAAACAGAGCAGAAAAAAGAACAAGAACTGGAGGTAGATTTTGTAGCATCCCTCACTGTAAAGATGATGACACTGGCATTGTTAAACGAGAGTTAAAGAGGCACTAAGCGCCTGTCAGAGAGCACTGATCGCTGTCCAAGGTGCTGAAAGGTGCACACCTACAGTTCCTGTCTCCTTATCTCCCTTACACAGAAAACACAAGGAAGAGTGAATAAAGCCACAGATTTGTCTGGATGCTGTATATGTGTACAGTATGAAAACAGGAAGGAGAAAGAAGCTTTGTACATATCAATAAAAACGCATTAAACAACAATATTGTTGTCTTTGGTTTCACACCAAAACGTGTTCCCCATATATGATAAAAATAGCTTTTACGTTAGACAATTTTGTTATATTGACAACTGAATATAAAAACTGACAATAACTCTCATACTATTGAACATGTTCACACATTGTTTTGTTATAAATACAAACTTCAGTGGATCTTATCAAGAGATAATGTGTAACGAACTTATTGAACATGATAGGTGAAAGACAAATAACACATAATGGTCAAATTTCTATGTGTATATTTTAAGAATGTATGGTGTGCGTCTGTTTACACACCCTTTGCTCAATAGAATACACTTCAATAATTAGTTAGAAAGCCACTGACACAAGAAAGTCCAATGTCCAGTTTGGCAAAAGTAATTTGTGTAAAAGTAATACATTGTAGAAGATAGTGCTCCTGTCAAGATATGACAGAACAATTGTTTACCCTTTAAGCAAAATGCTTTGTGTTACACAACACTGGAGACAGAGTCCTCACAATGAAACAAGGTGGAGGCAGTTTAATCCTGGGGGAATGGTAATGCTCATCTATAACAGGGAAGCTGGTCAGACCTGATTTGACTAAATAGATGGAGGTCAATTCTGGGCAAACTAGGAAAATAGGCATGTTGGATTCTGCAAAATGACTTAAGAAAAGATTCACATCAAACCAGGATAACTGCATTAAGCATAGAATAAGGGAGTCTGAATACAAAGCATTTCTCAGGTTTCCTTCTTCTTTCAGTTAATTGTTTGTTGAAAAACATGAACTTTTTTGCCCCTTAAATTATTCACTACTTAAATTAGTATTGGTCCATTACATGAAGTACCAGAACTTCAAACAGCCTCAACATGCATCCATGCTGCTGAACGTTCCTACCTCTGAATGTAACTTTCGCGATCCTGTCACCTTTCCCCCGAAGGTGAGCCACCGTCTTCAGGTGAACCACTAGAGACATCATCGGTGCTCTCTGGCGGGAGGGAGTAAATTTTTTACTCCACGCAGATAAAACTTGAACCGATTTGGTGCAATCACTGATTTAATGGGAGCCTCTGTTTGGCTCTGGATGCGTTCTGCCCAGAAAACAATTTCATCTCCCGAACCGTGGACATTACAAGCTTGTCTAAGACAAAGAAAGAGTCTATAACTGAATCATTCAAAGACTCCAGTCAACATTTTCTCCCGAACTCCGTTTATGCTCCCTGGCGGTAAAGTCTGTGTCTCTCATTCATGAGCCTGGCGCTTGGTTTTACGCTGGTCGCTGCGCAGGAAGGGCGGGGAGGGGGGTGAGTGGGCTTCACTTCCAGGGGAAGATGCTGATGCTCTAATTGCAGGGATAAAATTCAAGGAAGGAATTAAGAGGAGAGGAGCTGATACTCTTTCTTTTATGTGACACTGATTATATGACCATGAAAGGCTATTTCCGACTAACCAATTTCACAAAACTTTGCACCCCATACACAGAACCCTAAATGTAAGTTTATAAGAAGACATGGCTAACTCTTTGATCTTCATCCCCACAGCAAAATTAGTTTTTTTTTTTTTTTATGGCAGCTAAAACCATCATCGTTATGCCAGCAAGCTATATTTGATCCTTTGTCTTAGATTAAGCGCATACTGCAGGATTCAATATATGTTCCTTGACATTACAGTTGCCAGGCAACTCTGTTTGCCCCATGTATGTTTCTTAAGTGAATTAGGAGAATATCAGGGGTCAGATAAGCAAGGTCTTTGGCTAATGAGCAGCTGTGTTTTGACCAGAGACTGACTGGAGCCCACATATGTGAGATGAAACAACCTGCAGACCAACTGATGTTTCAAATGTCTTCAGGATAAAGCTAAGGATGGATGAAGGGAGTGACGATGTAAGAGGTGACAGCACAACCCATCTCCCTGGATATGGGGGTCCATATAGGAATCCTATATGTTTGATAGGTGAGATCATGCAAACATGTTTATGGTTGTCTTAAAGATAAAATAATTAAGAATTGTATATACTGAATAAAAACAAAAAAAGGCCTAACAAATGTGGACATAATGTCACTGCTTGGGAGTCTCAAGAGCCTTTATGACACTGTAAAAAATGTATCAGTGAAAAGGAGAAAAATGTTGTTAATTGAAATTATGCTTACATCGCACAATATTTATTAGATGCTTTTTCTTTAACACTAAATTGCTCAGAGTGGCCCTTTTCTTTTTACATATTGGTGTGATTGTGGGCTCAGTTGCAGATATGAGGATGACATGATCACAAATAACTAATTGCAACAGCATAACAGGCAACAGGAAATGAAGACATCAGAAGATCTTTAAAATGGAGTAACAGAACCAAAAACCATTTGTACAGATAGTTAGATTACCGTTTGGTGCACATGTTGAATACGTAAGCAGACGATGAACAGCTGTAAGGGACAAGGGAACAAATATATGATGTTGCAAGGGACCAAAATACTCCTATCATAGCATACAAATTCCTGCCAAGAAGTTTTAACTTAGGAGGTTTGATTGCTAGTTGTGGCGCTGTCTTCTAAGAGTTGTGATTGGTTTATAGAAGAAGAAAAAAACAGTACTGCATTCCTAATCATTGATGAAAAGAAATTAAACGATAATAGAAAACAGACTTGGTTAAGAGATGTGTATCATGATGTGTGTCTGAGCAGCGGCTTCCATTGTTATTCTTGTAATTTGCCTCCTGGAGGAGAACGGGGGTGAATTGGCCCTCAAATCACAGTGCAAAGAGGCAGACTTTGAAGCACATTGCAGAGCAGATTAATCTGTCTTTCACTGCTTTTACGCACCAGCCTGGATTGTGAGAAATAAAAGCCTGAGAGGAAAATTCTTCACACAAGTGAACTTCAAGACACAAACATTATATAATATCTCACCTATTTTTTTTTTTTTTTTTTTTTTTTTTACCAAAGTCTGTAGTTTGCCTTTTACTGTACTTTACCTTGTCTACAGGGTGTATTTATATATGTTTTTCTGTGACCTTTTCAATTGAAAAAAAAGGCTCATTATTGGGAGAATTTTACAGATTAAAAATAATATGGAAATTTTTCTGTAATTTATTGTTTGTACATCTTTTCAATTTTCAGTAAATCATTCATCCTCAATTAAATTCAACTAATGAGTCCAGAGATTAAAACTGCCTAATTTACCTCCTAGAGGATGCTGAAGTTTATCTAAGCCATATTTTGATTTTTGTTTATTTTCAAAAAAGTTTATGAGCTCATTAGGATGTAGATCCGTCAAAAATCTATTTCTGTTGTCCATCTTCTCTACCTAAGACACTCATAGACATGCTGTTTTTTACTCTTCACATTTGTCAGGAGATCTCTTCAGGCTTAAGGTGCTTCATTAATAACTTTTATCTTACCAAGGTAAAATTAAAAAAAACAAAAGGAGTGACTTGTCAAGGCCTTACCAACGCTTTAAATGCAATAACAGTATCCAGTGAGGGAAAAAAACCTCCTTCAATATTTCCCACAATAAAAAAAATGTTGGAAAAGATTGACCAATGTTTGATTGTTTTGGTTTGCTGCAGGAAAACACTTATTTGCAATGTTATTGTCCAGTTACAGAAATTGGAGAGATGAGATCTTCATACCCACATTCATTTACAATATCAGACCATGTTTTCAAAAAACAAGGAACTTACTCCTTCATATGGTTCAAAGACAAACTGATTGTGAAAGAGCTGCCAGATATAAATTCATTGGTCTTTAGTGTTTAAAGCCAAAGACTCAACAAGAAACCCAGGAACATGAAAAGGTATTCAATATCAGACAATAAAGACTGATCTTTCACCATAAAAAATAATAAGATCACAATGTAAAAGTATTTCATTGAGAGAAGTAAAATTATTGTTGCATATTGCTGCTTCTGTGAACTGAATCACTGTTTTCCAGGCTATGACATACTGCAAAACTTTTTCTCTAGCTTTTAACAGGCACAAAACAAGCATCATCATGAAGTAGTCGGTTCACCACCCAGTCATTTCTTCAGCAACAGACTTGGAACAATTACCAAAGAATGCTTTAATAGTATTCAGTGGTGATAATGAGGGCAAGCTGCATAATTAAGTTCAGAAACATCTGGGTAAAATCCATGGAAATGATCAGATTCAAAGCACTGATGTTATATATTGCAGCAAAACTGAGGAACTAGAAGGTAAAGGTTATGTGTATGTTAATTTTATCTGAAATGCAAATAAAGCATATAACTAAACAGTTAAAATACCACAGGGTTTCATTTTAAGAAGGGAAGATGTTATGCATGTTCTTAAGACTTTTTTTAGTCCTTTCAGCTTTTTATCCTTTCATTCTGCATCAAACTAAAAAAGGTTTTTAATACCTAATACCCTTCCTAATGCAACAGTAATCTGAACCCAGTTCCCTCACTTAAACTACAACATTATGCCTTAACATTATCCTAAATTCTTGTGAGCATTGTTATGCCTGCTGTCACTCATTTTCCTCTTAATATTGGCCCAAAGATTGCTCATGTGAAAATTTGTGTTGCGGACTGCAGACATTTTGCTTCCTAAAATAAATGTTTGGAACCTGTTTAGGAAGAGAGTGAGATGTTGCCTAAATTGATACAAACAAAGTAAATGTAATATTTTTCAAGCATGTCCATATTGAAGACCTCAGACTGTAGACCATGAGATAGTTGTAAAGTTTTTTTGAAATGCACCTAGTTGCTGCTTTTATGTGTTTTTGTTTTATTGTTGTTTTTTCGTCTTCAGACTATTTCATTTTATTATATATATATATGTATTTGTTAAACTGATGATAGTTTTGTCTGGCCCATTAAATTAATTAATTTAATTAATTATCTCAGCCATTAAAAACCAGCTGAGCTAAATAAAATGTTAATTGCAAGCCTCCATGTCACAAAAATAATACTCTGAAATTTAGGAAGGCCTGCTTGCCTGTATCTAAAATCAAACAATAATGTGTGTTCTTAAATCAAAACAATGTTATAATTGGTGTCAACGTTCCAAAGAAAAGCAAAGTTGCCAAAGAAAAAAAAAAATAAGAAAGTTATATTAAACAAAATGTTGATAGAACTGGAGCATTCGCTTTGCATCAACTCTCACCTGTGAAAACCATACAGACAGTCACTTTATAAATCAGTGAATATGACTTATGTTATCAGCATCTTGCGTTCTTTTTTGGGTCCATCAGGGCAACTTGTCACAAATAGCCTCAAGCATGTGTATAACGTCTCAGAGCCCGTTGCAGCCTGTATGTTAAGCCTGCTGAAGCATTACCTCTGGAGGAATGCAGCTCATTTTAGTCAGTCTCTTTGTGTGAAGCTTTGACAGGATCTTAGCTTTTTGTTTTGCTGCTTTGCAGAGAGAGTGAGAAATAATAATTGGCTTCATTGAGAGTTCCCTATTTAAAAATGCATTAAGTTTTGTGGTGACTCAGGCATTGTGTTTGGCTAGCTGCAATAATTGTCATTTATTTATCTGAAAAGCAATGCTGAAAACAATTTGAATTGAGTTAATGAAATGTAAAGACCTGAGAACAGAGCATTTTTCAGTGTGCAAAAAAAACTTCCAACCAGGCTAAGATAGAGATAAATACAATAAATATCCAATAGCCCATGTTGAATTAACAAGTCAAATTGTTTTGCATTTTTTTATATATCAATATGAGTTTAAAATACATTTGTTAAGATTTAGTTTAGATGTTGCATTGTAAAGTGGAGACCAGAAATCATGAAGCCATTCAATCTGTAGTGCCAAACAAAAAAATATTTTTGTTTTTAGGAAGACATAAATAGAATCAAATCTTTACATAAAAAAACAAAAGCTTGATTATATCATAAACAAAAGTTAAGGTAAATGCCTACTTTAAATTATCTTCATCATACCAAATCTACCTTGTATAGACAGAACATGGGGAATAGAATAGAATAGAATAGAATAGAATAGAATAGAATAGAATAGAATAGAATAGAATAGAATAGAA